AGACATAGTATCTTCTTTTTGATATTGCGGTCGAATCTGTCTGACCTCTGCATAATTTGGGGATGTGCTAATCGCCTTCCTGATATTATTGATTTTCTCAGAAAAGAAGGAAGCAAACTCAATGCATTTCACTGGCAATCTGACTTGGGCGGGGTTGTCAGTCTCTCAACAGTAGCAAAAAGAGTGCGAGTGTTGTTTAAGTTACTGTTTATAAGGTTTGAGAAGAATGACTGTCTAGCTTTGCCTAGTTCCACATTGAAAGCACGATAAATATAAGAGTTGTGAAACACAATAAAAAGGCTCAGAGACTTGTAGAAGCATATGAAAATGTCACGTTTGCTTGAGCTTTATGTATGCTAACACTTTTAATTAGGCTTGGGGTCAGGTATAGATTAGGTGGTGTGTTATTTTCAAATGCATTAATCTTTTAGCATCACACTCACATCACGTTTCTGCTATGATACATGCAACAAACAGTTCAATTAAAAGTTGCCAGTTAAACATCCATCTGTTCCTGATGAAACTAAACACTGTTTTAGTGCCACTCAATGGACATTTCACTTTGAAAGTGTCACGAAACCTTCGGGAAGCAACATACTGTGATACAATTTTGCAGAAATGTCACGAAAAGAGACACGTTTTTCCATTGAGCCTGGGTTGGTTTTTGCACTATTTAACACATGGTCATTTGGTTACTTCTTAGTGCAATGTCCTGACAATGAAGTTCTGTTCGACTCGACGGGCGTAATCCTGAGTCCAGGTTATCCTGACAGCTACCCCAACCTTCAGATGTGCTCCTGGATGATCAACGTGGAGAAGGGCTACAACATCACACTGCACTTTGAACTCTTCCAGACGGAGAAAGAGTTTGATATTCTGGAGATCTTTGATGGTGGGTTTGAATTATTCCTCATATTCAGGCATCATCTGACAGCCCGTGCAACTGTGTCCCTGAATATTGCAGTCATTATTCTCTGGCCTGTCGTAACTGACGCTTTTCTTGAAAATTTGAAATGAAATTTGGAGCCTTGGGAATGTGTTTGAGAAATAACGGAGTTGCTTTTTTAGACCCATGACCATTACGAGAGAAATATTTCCTATCCCCCTAAAAAAAAAAACTCATTTAGAACCAGCAGACATGCAAAATGCTGGAAAGATTCAAGTATTTCTTGATACCGAGGCAATGGCAAAGACAATTCGAAATACATTCAGAGCGCTAATTACTTAAGTGCTTGCAATCAGCAAATTACCCTATTACTCATCATTGATTGGATGCTCATTAATGCCCATGGCATTTGCAGAGTCCCAGTGGAATAGGAAATGAGAAGCAATACCAATTTCCTTCTCTCAGGCCAGATTTTGTGTTCATGTTTTGCAGCAAAGCAATTTTTGGAGCTCTTTCCCTAGTGTCTAAAACTAAATCGGCTGAATCCCTTCGGATGGACATTTCCACATGATGGATTTATTCTGAGAAATCTTCTTTGCTCATTGCCACATATGGAAACTACTTGTTAAAGGAATAGTTCTCCCAAAAATGAAAATTTGCTGAAAATGTACCCCCTCAGGCCATCCAAGGTGTTGATGAGTTTGTTTCTTCATTGGAACAGATTTGGAGAAATTCAGCATTTCATCACTTGCTCTGCAGTGAAAATGGGTGCCTTCAGAATGAGAATCCAAACAGCTGATAAAAACATCACAATAATCCACAAGTAATCCACATGACTCCAGTCCATCAAGCAAAAGTTTAAAGTTAAAATGCCCTAATGACGCACAGCTTTTCACTTCACATAATGCTAATTGATGGACTGGAGTCATGTGGATTACTTGTGGATTATTGTGATGTTTTTATCAGCTGTTTGGACTCTCATTCTGACGGCACCCATTCACTGCAGAGCATCCATTGGTGAACAAGTGATGTAGAAATGCTATATTTCTCTAAATCTGTTCCAATGAAGAAACAAACTCGTCTACATTTTGGGTGGCCTGAGGGGTGAGTAAATTTTCAGCAAATGTTCATTCTTTAGTAAACTGTTCCTTTAAATTTCCAAAATGCTGCATTTGTTCTGTTAGAATGTCAAAATCGAACCATCAGCGATGACATAATTGAATTCTGAATTGCATTCGGTCTCCTAAATTTGCAGTTTGCAAACTTCTTCAAACTATCATTGTACATAACTTTAAGAACATCTCTTTGCTGATTGATTTACATTGGAAATGCAAATGTGTTTTATTTTGTTTTATTTTTTTGCAGGACCAAATATTTACAGTCAGAGCCTGGCTGTGTTGAGCGGAGATCTAAGTGTGCCCTTCAACATGACCACCACGGGTCACCAACTGTTTCTCCGCTGGTCGTCTGATCACGGCACCAACAAAAAGGGCTTTCGTATCACTTACGTGGGTGAGTATCAAAGTATGTATCCCCGATTGGTAATTCCTTTCAGTTCTATGTGTGTCTCCCGTGACCTTTTGTCTGTCCTGCCCATGACACGTTCGTCCAAGTCTGTGTCCCATCTGTCCATGTGTTTGTGTCCAAATGTTTGTGTATTTGTAACTTTGGAGTCAGGAAATGTAATAGAAGTTGCCTAAAACTATATAGGCCTAAAATTCTGAAGAATGTAATCAAATCATTAAATTTTACAGTACATTTTATGTAAGATGTCACACGTTAGGCCTGTTTCACACATCCTATAAGGTGAAAGGAAATATAAGGAAAACTGCAAACACCGGTGTGTGTTGAACTCCCACACTAGCCGGATTCCAGCCACATATTTTATGTAAATTCTGGGGAAGTGCATAAATAACATGCTCGATGCAAACACCAAGATGCAAATAAAATTTCCAAAATGTGCATAAAAATGCACACTTGAGGTAGATAAATGTGCATACACTGTCACATCAGTTCACGTTTGTGTGGCGTAACATATACAGAAAATAATCACATTGCATTACCACATATCAGTATTCTCTTATAAATATATAAATTGCAATTCAAAACTCCAGATCCAGGTTAAATTCAGTATACATGAGGAGAACTGCTTGCGTCACCTGGTTTCAGTCAGACGTGAATTTAAACATGTATACAGAAATTTAGAAATGCATACAGAAAACATAAACAGAAAATAACCACAATGCATTACATATCAGTATTTCCTAAAAGTATTTCAGTTGCAGTTCAATTATAAACTCCAAATCTACACGCTAAATTCAATATACATGAGATGTGGAGGAGAACTGCTCAAATCGTGGTTTCAATTAGACCTGAATTGAATAGAAAGTGCCCGTCGCTGCATGTGGGATGTGCATGAAGCACAAAAGTGTGTTTTCAAACATTGGTAAATAGTTCAATCCATTATTTTACTTTATTGCGAAAGATGTAATGACATGACTGTGTGGCGCTTACGTGCTGCAGACACAAGAAGTGTAAAAGAAGCCGTATGCTGCTTTTAGATCCTCCCGGGAAACATTCAGAAGTTGTAATTATGATGTGAAAGAATAAAATACAGTAGATGCGTTGTGCAATTTCATATTCCTTTCATATTTCATATACCATTTTTTTTAGTGCTAAAGTAACAAAACGAAGAGCAAAATGTGTTTTTCAGTGTAATTATCCATTCTCATGCTACCACAGAGAATGATGGGAAATGTAGTTTTGCTGCTAATGCCTTTCAACTCATAATCTGTATAGAATACCTCAGTTCTTTCATTTACATGCCAACAATATGAAAAAAAAAATCTGGGCTCAAAGTTTCCCACTGGTGGTAATTTTTAAAGACTTGAATTTATTGTAACAAGACTTGAAGGCACAGTTAGAGTAGAAATAGTAAGACTTTATTGTTAATATAATTTATTATATTATATAATATGTAATTATTATATATATATATATATATATA